CCCCAAAACCCCAAAACCCCAAAACCCCGCATAATTAATCAATGATTGATTGGATAGAATTATAAGTTTTGGATTATTAAAAGTTTAATACAACAAGAACGTATATTATGGAGAAAAATAAGAAATTGACTTTTATTTGCGAAGTTGAGAGCAAATTTGAAGAGGAAGAAAATTAAACTTAACAATCTGGAAGAAACTCAAATGATGTAACAACAGAGGATTTCACCACTGTTTAATACACTTAAGATTCTGACTCAAGATCTCTTAAAAGGATGTCAAAGAGGATAACTTAGACTGAGATCGAGAGAAAAGAATATTAGAGAATGATGGATGCTTATGAATATCTCATAAATAAAGGCATACTGGCAAACCTAGGTATATTATGCAATTTTCTTGATAAGTGATAGGCACAAATAAAGAGGGCATGTATTACTTTGTAATATATGGTTACGCCTATACAAAAGCATATGATTCAAAAGAGAAGATTAAAATAGGTGAAGCATTCTAAACTCTTTCAGATTATCTCACAACCTTGTAAGATCAATCATTTTCAACGAATCAATTACTGAAATCTTATTAGATTCCAGTAAATGCTTCCGTCATATTAATATCTCAAATCTTTTCAATAATTTAATAGTATTAGTAGATATAAATGGGTCCTAATTTATGTGCATTCCTGTGTTGGAGCAACCAGAAAAGGTGCTTTAATTAAATTCAAAGAGATATATTGCGAAATGACCTAAGCTCAAAAAGCCACTCTTTCAAAGCTATACATAATTCAGCCTTCATTATTCGTCAAGTCTAGAGTTCTAGTAGAAAGTTGTAGGAATTAGCAAGTTCGCAATGCTCTTTCTATTATTAAAACTTTTAGCAAGTACAATTCAATGTCTATTTCTAATCTCATTCTATAGAATAAAAATGTTTATTAATCAGTTTCAAATTGATGAATCGGATTCCTCTATGATTGCCAGATTTATCAAATAACTGCCCTAAAACGTATTTGAAGTCTATCAAAAAGAGCTTAAAATTAAGAATAAAAAATAATATCCCTCAGAAATAGACTAGCTTGAAACTAAAGAATCATATCTACTGCCAACTATGAGTTCCTAAGATGATCAAGTAGAGCCAGAATTTCTAAAGAAATTCTTCAGTTTAGCAGTTAATGAAAGCGTAGTAAACTAAAATTAAGGATTTAAAGAAGCAATTTAATCAACTCATGATGTTATTGGAAAAAATTTGAAGATATTTTATCAAGAAAGAGAGGATGATTAGGACTTTTGTGAGGAAATCCCCTTTGTACTTATGTAGATTCATGATTACTTTATGGAAAATGATCGGAGAATGTGGCGAACTGATCTGTTTGGGAAGCTATCTACTTCTGAGATGAAACTACTTGATCGATTGGAGTCTAATATTGCTTTGGGAAACTATAGCTATATCTTCAGCGAGCAAGATTCTAGAATAGTTGCATTTTACTTCAAAAGCATCTTAAAATACATGGAAGAACCATTATCTACATTTAAACTCTATGAGAATTTTAAGGAGGCTTGCTAAATTAAAAAAACACAAGACAACAAATAAATATTCATTGGCCACTTAAAGCAAATATTTTAAAGAATGGATTCAGTTTACTTCTACACCTGGAAGATGGTTCTACATATTCTTGCTACAATAACACTCCACTCTAAGATTAACAATGTAAGACCAATTGGAGTTAAAATTTTTATATAGTTTAATCCTCGAAATTTGGCTTAGATCTTCTCAGATATACTTTTCAGACCTAAGACATACGGAGCAAATGATATGATTATGTGGAAGCACTTTACTGACCTACTCGCATTTATGATTGAAAACCACCAAGATCTATTTGATGGTTGCTACGAACTTTAACTATAGATGAGTCCATTCTCTGAGGAATCTAAATCATAGTGACATGCAAAAATTTAAAGATGTAGTTTTCAATAAGAAGAGTGTTCTTTAACGCATCTCTCATTGAGAATGATAGTCAGTGTATATAGTAAAATTATTTTTTGGGATTTTTACTTAACTTATCTTTTGTTCTAATTTACCTATATTATCTAATGGGGTTTTGGGGTTTTGGGGTTTTGGGGTTTTGGGG